ATGGGCTATTGTAGGGGTCTGAGAGCCAACGCCTCGTCCATCTTCAGTCACTTCGCCCTCGTTAAAGACTGGATCAGCAAGAGGGGGCGTGTCAAGTTTGACTACTTGGTCTCAAGAGCAGGCATCCAATGAAAACCCACATGTGAATTCTCCATCTCCGTACTGAGAAAAGGCGTTCAGGTAAGACAACGCCCCTTTTTAGGAAAGACAGGGTCTCTAATAGACAGCATCTGATGATGGTGTGATGATTTGTCTGGTGAATACCTTGAGACCCCAAATAAACCCTTTGTTTATGAGAACATTGCTCTTAGCATCTATTGTTCCCTTTCCCCTTGGCAGGTATTAGATGAGGGAGCTGATGTTGTCCTCTTTTATCTTAATGGTGATAAATAAGAATAAAGATAAGAGGCAGGCAAGAGTGATTAACAATATAATTCTGGAATCCACAAAGCTTGCTAAGTAATTTCTTCCAAATGCACCTGGGGGGGGATGTGCAATATACAGACAAATTGTCTCTGCTGCTAAATAACCCTTTCTGCACAGCTATTTCTTACACATACAAAAGGGAAAAGTCCACACCACTAACTCCTCAGCAGTCTTCTATGGTGCCAATACAGGAAGCCAAGGAGCTAAGTAGGGCATTGGAGTCTTGTGTACTGACAATTGGGTATTTTCTTTGGTGCCCCAGCCAGCTTCTGTATTACCGTAAGAACTAAAGCATTCTAGCTAAGAGTTCTTAAGATGCTGAATTCTATGACTGCTCTGAACATTTGCATGCACTATGGTGCTTTTGTGAGATTGCAAATCCATTCTAATCTCTAGAGTGGGTGGATAACCTGCAATCCTAGGACTGAATATGGCCCTAGGAATAATTTCTGAAGACTCCTGCAGTAAGTGCAGATCTCTGGTAGTGTTCCCTTCCCAAATAGCTCAGAAAAATCAGAGAACAGGAGACATAATTCACATTAAGGTCTAGCCTTACCTGTTGCTGACTTTGGACAACTTACTTATAGGCCTGCAATAATCAACATAGTAACCTGAAACAATGTAGCCCTGACCAAATAATACCTTCTCTTCCCCAGAGATGAATGTAAGTTTATTATTGCTGATCAATGAATATTATTGCTACATCATGTAGCTACATCAAAATATGTTGAAGTCCATCTGTGTCCATTAAATTATTTTTTGCTTGCATTTATGAAAATAAGCTCCTGTTTCTTGCTATCTGGCAGCACGTGGACTGGTCCAGCCTGGAGTCCTGCACAGAGCATTTCTTCGGTGCTTATATCTATACAGTCTTTAATGACTGAGAATCCCTATCACAATGAACCTGGATTTGAACAGGTAAGGATGCTGATTTTGAATTGTATGGCTGATGGGACTTTCTCCAATTAGGTAATTGAAAAGATTGGCACAACATGCAGATTTAAAGTGAGAGAAAGCATGCAGAACATGGCTTCTAGAATTTTTTTTTTTTTTACATTTTCTTTATAAAAGCTCCACTCTGGGTTACATGACCAAGGAGGAGGATGGAGAGGGGTTTAGAATGGAGGAATCATCAACGTTGCAATCCACTGCTCAACTATGATATGATAGAGATGCAGTGCGGAAATATTTCTTGTCTTTTTTTTCTCTATATCCCAATCCCTTTTTCAGACTCATTTTCTTTTGCTAGCTTTTCCTCTAACACAAAAAGTGGGCCTATTCTCTTCTTTTCAGAGAGTTATCCTACTGACAGACTGGAATCCTGAGTCCTTTATGTTTCATTGGGTTGGAAAAAATGCAAATAAATCTGGCAAAGCAGCAGGACCTATTGAGTGCCTAGATATTCCAATCTCAAAGGGTAATGGGACTTCCACATACATATCTGCTTCCCAATTATGTTAAAATATTATGTTATGACAGAAACATAGAATTATTAAAATGTTCTGTAGCTATTATAGCCTTCATAAGTAGTAGTAGTTTATTAAATGATTAGTCTTGCAACCTTATCAATAAAATAAAATATAGTACATAGTCAATTTCCAGAATAAAACAGGTAGGAGGAAATAGAGTGATAAAATACATATGTGGTAATACAAGGAGTCAGTAATCAGCTAAATGAATCACCCTTACAGGGTACCCCAATTTGTTCAATATATTGGGTTCTTAGAACCACTGCCTTGGTTATAAACTTAGCAGTTCTGCATACAATATGTACCAGAGGAAATATTGTATGTAGTATACAGCCCAGGAGTAAATATGATGATCTGTGGGTTCAGATCCCAGTGGGTTGTTCTTTCCAATAGGGATAAGCACTTAAGGCCTAATGGGGGCATACAATTGACAGTTGAACAAAATATGAGAAATATTTGCAATGGCTGGGGTACTGTATATGCAGGTTCGGTGATGACTCCCCCAGACGTGTCCCCAGACACCTCTCCAGATGCTAGTTCAGAGGAGGATGAGCTGGCAGCCAAGGGCTACGAGCCAGGAGTGGAGGGGCTGAGTACAAGGGAGCAACCAGACAAGCAGCCAGCTGAGCTAGAGACAGGAAAGGCTCAGCTGCAGCTGGGAAGCCCAGAGGCCTGCAGTGGAGAGGGTACAGAGCTGCAGCTGGTCAGTGGAGATGAAGAAGAACTACCTCCTCCTCCAGATCCAAGAGCACATGGGGCTGAGAGGAGGCAGGCACAAAGGTCAGCCAGGCTACTCATGAGGAGGTAGCCTTGCCCCTCTTGATAAGCAGCACCAGGAAGCAGTTATTTAGCTCAACAAGTGGAGTGAAATGATGCTGGGAATAAGGTGTTTATTTTCTTGCTGCATGTTCTTGCCTTGAACTTTGGATAATGTCTCTTCAACTGTGGCCTTGCTTTGTAGCCTTACCTTTGCCCTGTGGATTTGCCTTTGCCTTTGATTTGCCTTGTCTTGGAACTTGCCTTTGCCTTGGGAACTTGCTTTTGCCTAGTGGACTGGACTTGCCTTTGCCTTGAGGACTAGTGTTGGTTTCATTTGAGTAGCCTGTGGAACTCAACTGGGGTTTATTTATTTATTTATTTATTTATTGTTCGAATTTATATCCCGCCCTTCTCCTTGCGGACTCAGGGCGGCTGACAATCAATTAAAAACACCAATAACAACACAAAATTTAAAATTAATTAAAATGAAATATTTAACTTGTCTAATTTAAAATATAATTAAAAACTCCTCTAAAAACCCCTCTTAAAAATTACCCTAG